TATGCTGCCCCAGAACGCCTCGTTGAGGATTTCTCTTTTTCCATTTCTCTTTTTCCATTTGTTTCTTCCTGGTCATAGCGACGTAACGGCTCCGCGGATTGGTCCAAATTGACCAATCCGCACACTCACTCAGCCTTATCTTTTCTCAGCCGTGTGTGTGTGTGTGTGTGTGTGTGTGTGTGTGTGTGTGTGTGTGTGTGTGTGTGTGTGTGTGTGTGTGTGTGTGTGTGTGATGTGTGTGTGTGTGTGTGTGGTGTGTGTGTGTGTGTGTGTGTGTGTGTGTGTGTGTGTGTGTTGTGTGTGTGTGTGTGTGATGGTGTGTGTGTGTGTGTGTGTGTGTTGTGTGTGTGTGTGTGTGTGTGTGTGTGTGTGTGTGTGTGTGTGTGTGTGTGTGTGTGTGTGTGTGTGTGGGTGTGTGTGTGTGGTGTGTGTGTGTGTGTGTGTGTGTGTGTGTGGTGTGGTGTGTGTGTGTGTGTGTGTGTGTGTGTGTGTGTGTGTGTGTGTGTGTGTGTGTGTGTGTGGTTGGTTGCACTATACTTTTTCACTGCCCGTAATTTTGACGGACAGGATCGTAACATTTCCGTCAAAATCCATTATTACCCGTCGGTTTGTACACTCTGGGGGGGGGGCGCTCGTGAACTGTTACCGCCGGTGCTATGCATGCCCACTGCACCTCACGGGAGCGCGCCACAACGTAAGGCAAAGACTCACAGACATTTCAATGATTTGTACGGCAAAGTTAGGTTTGGAAACGATATCATTTCCTTTTTGGCGGGCATGCATAACACCAGAGCCTCGCTGCGGGGAAACTTTGGCGCTGTTTTGAGTTTGTTCTAATCCGTCATTGTTAAAGAAAACACGTCATAGACGGAAGATATTCGATTAACGCGACCACTGGTTTGTGCTCAGGCTGAGTCTCGCTGTCTCGCAGACCCCCACGCAGCAACCAGGAAACGACCCCGGTAATCCAGCTCACACTGTCCGCTCCTCGAGCCTCAAAGGGCGGAGCAGCGAGCGCCGCAACGTCCCGCCAACACGGCACCCAGACCCCACGCAGCATTCTCATCTGTTTGTCATTACTGGTGTCATTTCCTGGTTGCTAACAAACGCCATTGTAACACATAATCACTGATGTTCAGCTTTAACGGTGGTGGACTCATCAGAACAGAGTGGGCGAGCTGACCAATCAGAGCACAGTGGGCTCATAGGGAGGGGGGGGGGCAGGAGCTCCAACAAGCCGTTTAGGACAGAGAGTGAATACACATACTATACAGAGTATGAGAAACCAATGTGAGTTTGGAACATTGAACAATGTAAATCTATTCTAGTAGACCTCAACAATGGAATTATGATCAGTAGAAATGGCCATGACACGGGACCTTTAAAGGTTGATCCTTTTGCACTACAGCTTTGCTTAAACATGCAGACGTAGACGACAAATTCAAGCATTTCCAAAAACCTTTACTGCATGTTTTTTACCCTAACAAGTCTGTTCTTAAACCAACAAATACATCTCTCGTATTTCCCCCCCAGTCCTTGAGATGTACAGCAGACTTCAGGAGCAGATGAGGGCCAAAAGGTAAGTTAAGGATTTTGTCTTTTTTTTGTTAACATTTTAGTTCAAATCTTGGGCGTGTGAAGGATACTTAGTTAAAGGTTTGTACATGTCGTCCACATTCCCCTGCACCATCAGCTCAGAGAATTGGGTTTTTAAACCAATCATGTAGCAGGTGAAGCCTTAAGCGGCTGCTTGTTGGCTATGAACATTGTCTTTTGTGGCATATCATGGCTACTACTCAAACTCCTGGATAGGAAGTAGACTTTGGATTTGTTCAGAGCAATGTCTGGTTTAAGACATTAAAGGGGTAACTTTACCACTTTTATACCGTAGTAAGAAATAATTGTTTGCTAAAAAACAACTAAGGAATACCCATACACGTGTGATGTATTCATACTATTTCTCCATTCTGTATCTTCTTTAATATGCATTTGAAAGTTAGTCGTCGTTTTGACTACTGTTTCTGAACTGACAGCCACTAGGTGGAGCCAGAGCTCTTTATTTAAGGAAATGAATCCCCTCTCTCTGTCTCCCTCCTCCCTGCCCTGGTCCTGACCTGCAGACAGGAGTCTGGCTGCTCATACATTTGTCGTTTGTTTGTGTTTTTCTACTTCTCTCTGTCCCGCGGCTGCAGAGAGCAGGGAGAGGTCAGCCAGCAGGGAGAACGTGTGTGTGTGTGTGAGAGTGAGTGTGATGCAGTGGAGTGAAGTGAAGTGTTGTATTGCCAAATATCCCTGAGGTGTATCAGAGTGTATTTATTTCTCCGTGTGTGTGTTTGTTGATGTGTTTCTGTGTGTGTTTCTGCTTGCTTTTAGTCATGCATCTGACAGCCAGGACTTTGTTTTATTACCGTGTGTGTGTGTGTGTGTGTGTGTGTGTGTGTGTGTGTGTGTGTGTGTGTGTTCAAGTATCTCCTCCTGTAACCACAACTCACTGGTTTAATGCACAACATTAAGAATAAGGCATTGGAAAAGTTTAATCTGAATAAGGATAACTTTTTCATCCCAGGAGTAGTTGGGTTTCGTGTCAGTTGTTCCCAAATTTGAAATAACAGTGTGTGTGTGTGTATGTGTGTATGTGTGTGTCTCCTCCTGTAACCAGAACTCACTGGTTTAATGGGAATCTGCGCACAATTCAAAATATGGCATCAGAATAAGGATACTTGGGTTTCGTGACAGTTGTTCCCAAATTTAAAATATGTGTGTGTGTGTGTCAGGTACTACCCTGCGCTGCGGACCTTGGAGCAGCTGGAGCTCACGTGTCTCCCGCGGGCCGGAGAGTACCGGTTCTGCTCCATCATGGCGGAGAACATCCCCAAGCTGAGGACGCAGATCCGGGACACGGCCATGACACAGCTCAGAGACTTCCTGGAGAGCATCCGGAAACACTCGGACAAGATCGGAGAGACCGCCATCAAACAGGTACACACACGCGCACACACACACACACACACACACACACACACACACACACACACACACACACACACACACACACACACACACACACACACACACAGCACACACACACACCACACACACACACACACACACACACACTCTTCTGACAACAGCTATCTAGAGGCAGAATTTAAAAAGTTCAAATCTAGGGAAAATGGTTGATCTTGGTGGTCCTTGTCCTGACCCTCCTTCACTGTGATTGGACGGCTAGAAAACGAGATCAGAGTTTTACCCAAAAGTTAATATTTATCAGTTGTTGACATCACAGCACTTCATGTGTGTGTGAATCTCCTGATAAGGACTGCACAGTGTTTGTCTATCTGCCCTCAGACCACCATTTCTGTATTGTTCTCCATCATCTCTTTCTCTCTGTGTCTGTTAATCAGAAGCAGCCTCAGTGTGTGTGTGTGTGTGAGTGAGTGTGTGTGTGTGTGTGTGTTTCATGCTCTGTGGTTCCTCTGCCAGTAAACAAGCATGTAGGCGCTGCAGGAGACGCCGTGGCTTGTCAATGAACACACACACACTCACACACTCACACTCACACACACACACACACACACACACACACACACACACACACACACACACACACACACACACGTACACAGCCTTTCAGCACTTACCTAATTGTTTTTCTGTTTTCCAAGGCCGAGGAAGTTACATATACGTCTGTGTGTTTGTGTTCTCTTGCGGTAGCCACAGCTCAAAGTGAGGCCTCTTGTTTATTTGTGTGCCTACATTATTTTGGGAATGCTACTCCGTGGGTTTTCAGGATGAAGGGGGTCGAGGGTGAGTTGGGGGGGGTGGGTGGTTGACGACAGACAGATGAGCGGATGGAGACTCGGAGAAAAGTGGCTGCAGAGTCCGTTGTGTCGTGTACTCTAATCACGACTTCCTCTGATAATAATGGTCGATTTTTTAGCAATTAGCAAACAGTGAATGCTAGGATTAGCTTACTGGTGGTCTGAGATGCTTTGTTGCTCTTTTTCCCCTTTTTCTGCGTACATATTATCCATTCCTCTCTCCTACAGCTTTAAAATCAGGGCTAATGTTGCTCAGGAGGTACAGAGGGTCTTTCTTTAATAGGATTTGCGGTTTCATCATCAAAAAAGTCCACATGTCCAAGTGTATTCGGGCAAGAAATTCAACTTAAAATGTCTCCAGATTACGTTGCACAGTAGCTCCATCGGTGTGTAAGACAACAGAGAAGTCATTTTTTGCTTTAAAAAACAACTTAATGGCATTTACTGTGCAGTTCAGAACACACTGCACTCTGATTGAAGGACACTGTAAAGTCAGTGATGATTTCCTGGAGATTTCTGTATTTATTTCATCCTCTAGGTGTCACTGAAGGATTATTTCTCACTCTTATTTCAAAGCATTGCAGTTTCTGGTTGACATGGGATTTAAAGGTACTCTTCAAGCATCAAACTTGCATGACTATTCCCTTTCGTATGAGATACATAAGACAATACTATATTAACAGTTGAAGTCTGCATTACAGCGGCTCCCTTTGCAAAAATCCACAAGGACAAATATTAAGACAAGAGGCAAGGGAACAGACTTTTAACATAACATAAGAATGACTGAGATGAATATGTCAGGACTCTTTACCAGGATTAAACTCTGTATTTAGTTTCAGGGTTGACTGGTGCACAAATCTGTAAGAAAAGTAAGTTAAAAGCTTTCAAAGTCACCAGATCTGAATCCAATTGAACACCTGGGAGATTTTTAAGTGACATGTTAGAAAGGGCTCGTCGTCAAAGTACCAGATATAAGAATATCTTTACCTGAACCACGAAGAAGATCTGGAGGCCTTACAAAGACCCTTTTAGTTAGTTTTCAGAATCAGAAACAGAAATGTAAAACACAGATAGATAACTATTTTTAATAAAACTATAAAAAATATAGTAAAATATAGCAGTATTTACATTGAAATAGAACGGAATAAAATATGTACAGTAATAACAAATAAAAACGGATATTGTGTGCATTGTTTCATTTCATTTGTAGGTAAAACATGCATCAAGAAGGCGAACAAATGACCAAATATTGTATGAAATGTGCATTAAACGCAGGGGAAATAGTCCTCAGATACACAGCCACGTATCCCTCCACACACACAATATATTTTGGGTATCTTTACCTAAACCACGAAGAAGATCTGAAGGCCTTACAAAGACCCTTTTAGTTAGTTTTCATTTAATCTGTACGTAAAAACATGCATCTCTCCATCAAAGGAGGCGATCAAATGACCAAATATTGTATAAAAAGTGCATCAAACGCATGAGAAAATAATCCACGTATCCCTCCACACCCACACACACAACATGAACCCCTGGGTGACCCTAAGGTGGGGGGTCCGGGAACCACAGCTTGAGCAACGCAGGCGTAGCAAATCCACTTGCAGTCACTGAAGAAGCTAACTCCGCTAACCACTAATTACAAGGCAGATTACAGAAACCCCAGCGGTGCGGCGGCCATGACAGCGATACCCGGATTAGATGCTTGGCACTCAATCAGCGAGTGTGTGTTTATATATATATGTGTGTGTGTGTGTGTGTGTGTGTACGAATCAGAAGCTCTCCTTTCCTTTGTCCCTCTTTTCTTCTTCTGCTTCTCTCTCACAGACAGTGTGTCTCTCTGCCGCTCTGTTCCAAATTATCCCTAACTCTCTGTGCCGTCGCTTCACCGAAGGATGTGAAAATAAATATATCTGGGGAAAAGAGGAGGTGGAGACGGAGGAGAAAACAGGGCTCACAATGGAGCTATTGTCTTCTGCCACATGCCCAGAGAAGAGGAGGATGAGGGGGAGGAAGATGGGGAGGAAGGAGGTTTGAGAGTGGGACAAGTTTAGTGATAGAGGGAAGAGATGGGGACGGAGAGTGTGGGTTGAAGAGAGGAGGAAGAAAGGCTAAAGGAGGATAATATTGAAATAAAAAGATATGTTGTCGAGGGAAAGAGGGGAGTAGTTAGTCAAATTAATATGGGACTAGAGGGAGATGATGAAGAGGATGATAGCGAGAGGAAAGAATGATGGGAAGTAAGTGAGAGAGGAAGAGTACAACAAGGATTGGGGGAGATACGGAAATGTGTAAATGGAGGTAGGAACTCCTTTTTCACCAGATCCAAGTTTATTTTGCTAACCTTATTTTCCTACAACCCCTCTTTTTAAATGTACCACAATAATCCAAATGTATCAGAGTTTAATATGACCACAAATCATCACTTAACAATAACTAATACTAATCAAACCAATCTTACTTCTCCGACATTTCCTACTACTCCACCCTCTTCTTACTCGGGGTGTTTCTCAATGTCGATGGAGGCTTGGTTGGTAGCACATGTACCTCCGAGTCAGGTGCTTCAGAAGCGAGGCAAGAATCCTTCCTAGCCTCGGAAAACGAAGAATGGCAAGCAGGTGTGCGTCATTTGCGAGGCCACGCCTTAAATGGAGCGCCAAAGATTTTGGAAATTGGTCCGTGCGCAAAGCATTGTGGGGATTTTAAGACCGCGGAGTCGACACATGTGCAGCCTCGAAATTTCCCCCCAACGAAGGACGCCGGCCTCGGTAGAATTCCAAGTATGCTGGACATTGGAACAGTCCTTCGGCGGCACTCGATGACGTAGCATCCTTGAAATAGTGGCTCTGGAGCAGCCTTCCTCGACACCCTCGGTGTCACCTTTACGCCGCCATTTCGTTGCAGCTCTGGTCCATTTGTGGTGGTCCAAACAGGTGCTGTAAATGATTTGTAACATGAATCTGAATATTCTATGTTTTTTTAAACCTGAGAGGGGATAAAACAATTTGTCCAAGTGATTATAAAACCTTCCCTGAGAGTATTATAAACCTCTTGTGCAATGTTTTGGCGTCTACTAAGCCTTCAAACTGTTTAATTTATGGCTCACAGTGGCTTTCCTGGATCACATTTCATCAGATCAAGCTTTCTGAAGAGCGGGGTAGGAAGGGGAATGAGAAGAAAGTCAAGAAAGGAATCGGAGAAGAGGGGAAGAATCGGACGAGATACAGAAGACGGATGATTAAAGAAGATATTTTTGTCATATTAACCCTCCTGTCATTTGTCATTTCCCCCTTCCTCTCTTTCTGTCTCGTCCAGTTTCCCCTTCTCTCCCAACATGTCCGTCTCCATCTCCCTCTCTTCCACTCTTTCCATCTCCTCATCTTTCCATCTACTCCCTCTTTCACTTCCAGCAGAGGACAAGTTCAGAGCTTCTGCTGTGCATTCGGTAGACACACACACACACACACACACACACACATACACACACACACACACACACACACACACACTAATGGGAAACAGATTGCCCGGCCTGTGAAGTGGAGGAAGATTGATTACCTGTATCTAGTTACTGAACACACACATGCGGGGTGGCAGGACACGCGCTGAGTCGCTGTATTGAACCATCACAGGGAAAATGGAACCGTTTTACTGTAGGTGTGTGTGTGTGTGTTTGTCTCTGTGTGTGTGTGTGTGTGTGTGTTGTCTGCAGAATAATGCTCCACAGTTCACTGCCATCGGACACCATTATTTCTGGTTTCGAGGTCCGCCTGCCACAAAATGATCTATAGTGGGGATGTCCCGAGCAGATTTTTACCCCGAGTCATTTCATCCAGACTATGCAGAACCCTTTTATTACATAATACAGCTGTGCAGGTTTACTCTTTTCAATAGACATGCAAACACCGTGTGTGTGTGTGTGTGCTTTGGTACGATTGCTTTTTTGGCAATTTCTGATTTTTAAACCTTGTAATTCTTGTACATTTTTTTTAACGCTGAGGCCTTGAAGTTTGTCAGTGAAGCTCATTTGAACTCTGGGCTGCCGTGTGTAATGTAATATCGGATCATTAAAAAACATGTTAAGAGTCATTTTAGCTTTAAATGGATTATAGTGTGGTTATCGCCATGCCTACCCATCCCTTTTCACATTACATTACATCACATGTCACTTGTTAGACGCTTTTATCCAAAGCGACTTACATACTCAATACTGTGGGTAATCCCCACAGGAGCAGTTTGGGGTGAAGTGTCTCAGGGACACAACGACATGCTGAGGGGTTTGAACCTGTGACCCCCTGATCCGAACACCAACACACAACCCACTGCACCACACGCCTCCTGCTCGTCTCTTCAACACCTTTCCCTTCACTCCTCTCTCCTCCTTTCCCTCTATTTCTTTCTTTATCCCCTCTTATTTTCCCATGTTTTCCCTCTCTGCCGTTCCTACGCAGTAGATGACGCACATTCCCGCACTCGAGCTTCAAGTGGCACACCGAATGCCGCCCCTGAAGAGAAACGCCACAAAAGACGGGGGTAAAAAAGGTTTCTGTTCACAAACGGGAGTTCGTGTTGCGAGTGGATTCCTCGGGACACACATCCACCTGTTGAAGAAAAGCTATCTGACGTAGGTGCTGACGTCGAGATGCTTTCTACGTCCTTCTCACGTCCGTATTTCGAGGATTGCAAAAGAAAACAACCTTTTGACGGACAAGAAAGGAATACTACGCAAGAGAGAAAATGTAAAACAAGACTCTTCACTTTGTGTTTGAGGTCTGTGCCGCTTGAGTTTTCTCATGGATTTTCAGTGTGGAAAAAAAGACTCATTGCTGCTGACTGTTTTTAGAGATTGTATAACCTATTTGTTCCTAAAAAAGGAGAGGTCACATTCCTTTGTGTACCTGCTTGCTTCCACACAACGTTCATTAGTGAGAAACGAGACTTTCCAGCGACTCTGTTTGAACTTATTGTCCGATATGACTCACTAGTCTTGTGTTTGTGGGCATCAGATCAAAGATGGCATTGTGTTCTTCCACCATCATTGATATTGTGTTTGTATCCGGGTCGGTGCACATCCACCCTCCTATGAACACCAGTTTTTCTCATTAAAGGCGCAAACAGTCCCTTTTTTATTAAAGTGCCAACGGTAGACTACGTGCCGGCGCCAAAAGAGGAAGTGGCGGCACATGCATGGATTTTTCAAAAGGACTGGGTGTGGATGGAAAGATGCTCTTAGATCTAAAAAAAAAAATGTTCCCACAGAAATATTTTGGTGGTGAAGGACGTGGATCAAAAAGAACGAGCGTTTAGTTTCACGGTTTCATTTGATGGAAGAAAACGTAAAACTCATGTTAAGATGTTAGAAAATGTGTTGAAAATAGGACGCAAAAACGATTCCTCAATTAACTATGTCGTGTACAGAAATAGAAAATGATGATTCCCTTCAGACGTGGACGTGGAAATCTCCTTTTTAGAAACGTGACTTTGTTTTCATTTTGTGTTGGATACAAGCTCTCATTCGTCGCCAACCATTACTTCCTGTTGATTTGTGTTTGTTTTTGGTAACCATGCTTTTTTTCCAATAGCAGTGACATAGACAGGACATCAGATTTTAAATTTAACATCCCATTGTCCTGTGGAAAAGTCTTTCTTTTTGGACTGCATGTCCATTTTTGATAGTTTATATTGGGGAAACTTCAGCATTCGGATAAACGCGACACCACTCAAATGTTTTCTGCTTTTATCAACATATTCAAAAAATACATTTATTACAAGTTTGAATGTATTTTCTCTACATTTAAAACGTCTTTCGGTCCATGTAATTCTATGATAAAATGATGCTAATTAGCTTAAATATACAGATTTTTGTCTAGCGAACTCACAGAGGTTTTGAAACGCAAGGATCAAATATTTGACGTGTCCTTGTCTTCCCTTTCAAGTCCTAATTTTACGTGCTTTGTTTTTTTGGGATCCATTGACTCTCCATCCTTCCTGCTCTTCCCTTCCTGTCTTGGGACTCTCCCTCTGGTGCAATCTTGTCACTTTTTATAGGTCTTTTCCAGGAGTGTTTTCACGGGACAAGGAGTGGCAGGTTTTTCCTTAAAAGTCTCCGCCAGTGAGCTCATCATCCGCAAGCTTTTCCTGGAGCTATGGGAATTGGTCAAAAAACGAGCCATTAATGCCCACAGAGCTGTTGTTCCCTTGCAGTCCTTTTTTGTTTTTTGCTGGCGTTATTGTTATTCCATCGGCCTATAAAGTGTAATTGCAGCACATGTCTGGACTTACAATGGAGTTAGATTTCAGACGGTGGATCATTGTTATCAGCAAACATCTGGTTTTGGTGTCAGACGCTTAAAAATCAAAGAGTGTTCGATGGTTTGAAGTCACGCCAATAGCCAACAAGTTCCCCTTCCTTCTCCGCGGAAATTTAGGACATAACTGAACTCAAACTAATCTCCCAAGGCTTGCATTTTGAACATAAGATAAGATAGGACTTTAGTCATCTTGAAGGAAAGCGTCACAAAAATACAATAAACACAGCAGCATAATAATAAAACTGTACACTGACAGTGAAACATACACGGTCACATGATTAATGTAAATATTAACAGTATTTAGTAGTGCAAAAAACGTAGTGGCAGATACGTAAATGCACGTTATTTATAGAAAATGATTAATAATAATAATATTGCACATGTTATGTAGCAGAGAACCTGATTTGATGTTGACATTTAGGAAATAACTGAACACAAACGAACCTCCGAGGCTTACATTTTGAACCTGATGTGTTTATTTCTCTGTTGTTTATTTCAGGCTAAGATTCAGCGCTCGTTGGACAGTTCTGTGTCCTCGCAACCGAGGGCCCTGATTGGACGACGCAGAAAAGAGGCGATGATGATGATGAACGTCAATGGAATCGATGGCACTCCGGTGTCCGAACAGGACTCTGGGATTCTGGATGTGGAGGATGAAGAAGAGCAGGAAGAGGAAGAGGAGGAGGATGTGAGAGAACCTAAAACACACACACACACAACCACACACACATGAAAGCATTTCATCTGTCCTTCTGTCTCTGTGCAATGAAGGGATGTGGTACCATGACACCAACAAGAATCTTATCTATACTTGTCTCTCATTGGTTGTTTCAGGCCAGCAACCAATGAGAGATGAGTACCTTAACCAGTTAAGCCCCATGCCTTGCAAGAAACAGCGTCTGAGGGCTTCTTAACATTTAACAAACTATGAATGTGTCATACCCACTTAACGGGAAGAAGCTCAGCTATCAGACAATATTAACAATTCTTACCGAAACAAAACACAACTCTAACGCCGAGCCTCTGAATTAGCCCTGAGCGAAAAAATGCTAACACACTTAGCACAGAACTCACGGTATAAATACTTTATTAGTTATTAGTTATCGGACAAAGAAGATATCAGATTAAAGCTGAGATTCCACAGATTCCAGAGGTATTAGTATCACTGTGCGACCAAAACGCAGGGCAGCGAATGCGAAACCAGACAACAAACAACTTAGCTTTACGTGGCCAAAACGGCAAAAAACGTCTTACCTTAGCTGTTCTTCTGATCAAAAGTTGTGTTCAATGGCATTAAAACGATAAAAACGCTGCTGAAGGTTAATCCATAGGTTAATCAATGTGTCTGTGTCACTTTGAAATGATTACTGATAATACATCATAACATTTATGTCAATAACGGAGTTTTCATATTAGCTGCTACGATAGCTACGAGAGTGTATGACAGCTTCCGGTTTTGGGCCTTCTGGCTGCGCATCACTCATTCACCAATGGGTAATGTTTAGATTTTAGGAACTTCCCTCTCGATTCTATTGGCTCTAACGGTTAAAAAGAGGTGTCAATCATCAAAATCGAACAAGAGGGGCCAGAGATATGGAAAATGCACCCAAATGACCCCAGAAGTGTTTTCTTTTGCTAAACCTCTCTAAAAAGGTCAAATGTCACTTGTTTTGCATCAATCTTGATACAAGGTACTTATTATATGTTAGAGTTTGGATTCATAAAGCTTTTAGTCTACTAACCCATCATTCAAGGGTGGTTTTCACTATAAGTAACGTTTTTATTTTTGGACGGACACTATAATTGACATAATTTACAACGGGGGCTCATGAGAAAAATACCTTACTTCTTAATTGATTTATTACCCCTGAAAACAATTCACCTATGACTATTTTCTCAATAACTACCTTCAAGTCTTCTTCAATACAGCATAATGTCTATTCTGTAAATTATATATAATAGCAATGAAGCAGCTGTCTTTTAATTTAAATCCTGATAACTGAACTCAAGGAGGTTTGAGTTACCTAGATAATTAGGATTTGTTGGTTTAAATGAATGCTACCAGACTGTAAACAGGTGTATGCCAGTGATGTAAAAGGTAACACAGTATTTATATTGATTAGTAGAACTGACATGAGCGTGCAGAAATTAGGATTTTAAAATGACAATAGTAATTTAATCAGATTTCGACTGGACTAATGACCTCAGATTCTCCATTCTGCTTCACTTCATTGACCTCTAAGTTGTTTGAGTGTATCAGTAACATGTTTACAGACTGCTCTGAAGGTGAACTTGTAGAAATTCTTCAGAAACAAAGCGGTGTTTTGCTCACTGAACTCTTGGAGTCCCTCCTGGCGGGATCAGCAGCTCTTTGTTGTTCACACTCGGGGAAAAAAGCTCAGTACAATGAGGAGAAAAGAGAATAAGCTGAACTGTTCACCCCCGCGCTGCCATTCTGTTTCTGAGGTCCCCGTCGTCCCCTCTCCGCTTGTTCACGTCCTGTAAACTCGCCTCAACCTTCTTCACGGGAAGACCTTGGCTGGAACAAAGGCTTGACCCCGCGGTAGCCAAGGTTACGACCGCGTTGGCGCCGATTGGCTGAGGTGATGATGCCAACCATCGGCATTCCGTCTCCTCACGACATGTCTGTCCCTTTCCCTGCACTTACAGTCTCTGAGGACTATTTTCACCCCCCTTTGTTCTTCTTTCCTCGCTGCCTTTTCTGCTTCCTTTCTGAAGTCTTTTAGCTCCTTGTCTTATTGTATTTACGTCCTGCTCTTGTCTTTGCTCAGTTTTCTTGCTTTCTTCACCCTTTCTACACTTTTAAGTCGTCCATTTTCTCTGCTTCTCTGTCTTTGTACCTTTGCAGGCGTCTTACCTTTTTCACTTTGTCACTTGTCTTGCTCCTTGTCTTATTTTATTTAGTCAGGTCAAAGTCAATCTTTCAGTTTGTGTGTACAGAGAGATCGAAATACCGTTTCCCACAATCCCGAATACAAAAACAAATATATATAAAAATATCTATGCAAATATGTATCTATATACTTCCTGGTGTTGTCTTTGCTCAGTTTTCTTGCTTTCTTCACTTTTTCTACACTTTTAAGTCGTCCACTATCTCAGTGTTCTGTCTTTGTACCTTTGCATGTGTTTATGGTTTGTATCCTACTTGTATCCTACTTTCTGTCTTTCTATCATCATCCCTTCAGACGGAAATCTTCCTCACTTCCTCTCCTCCTCTCCCTCACTTTGGTCTCTAAGTGGTCTTTGTTTGTTTGTCTTGCCTCAGTGTGTGCGGTCACATCAAAGCTGGCATTGTGTGTGTGATTTTTACAGAAAGCAAACTCTCCAAAGGACATATGGTGTGTGTGTGTGTGTGTAGAAAATACTTCTGAACATTGAAGTAGCTTATATGGTGCACAACACAAATTATATTAAAGGGGACCTATCATGCAAAATGCACTTTTTGATGTCTTTTATACATAAATATGTGTCCCCGGTGTGTCAGGAAACTCACGCAGCGTCAGTAAATAAAACCCTCTCTTTTCCTCCGTACCCAAATCTCTAAAAACGGGGCTACAACAGAGCTGATCCAGATTTGCGTCCGATATGACGTAATATCTGTAATGCGGACCCACGGCACTATCAGAAAGTTGCTATCAGAAACAATGCCCGACTGTTTTGGACGTAATATGGTCGGTGTTTACATTAGCATCGCTAACACTCAGAGCTAACCTGTACTGGAGAGCATGTGTGTGAAGAAGCAGGAAATAAAAAGGAACTCACCTTGTGGTATAACCGGCAAGAGAGAAAGCCTTTGAGCTCCATACTGTTTCAGAAATAATCCTTGATAATCCATGATATGGCGTTTCATCACGGCAGCATTTAGTTTAGACAGTAGCTGCCGGGTCCCGCATGCTCAGCTATTTCTTTCTTTTTTTAAAGCTTTATACCCCAAATCAGCTCTTTTGAAACAGGAAGTGAAATAGAGGGATATGAGGCATGGCTAGAATGGGTGATCTGTTTGGTATTTTGAGCAAAACACTTCATAGACATGTTTTTTATATATCTGAGACCGATGTTATTGCCTACAAATAGCATGATAGGTGACCTTTAAGCAATCATGCCAACATGAATTACACTGTAATCTGAGTTTTTCCATTTTAATTGCAATAGTATATTTTAACTGTACTGTATTTTATTGACCTGCACTTTAATCTTGTTTCATAACTGTTTGTTTGATAGAGATTATGCAATGCTTTTAGATTGTTATGTACCTGCCTAAGAACTGCATATTCGCTCAAATGTGGCATAAGTCATCTCTTCTTCTTTTTTCTGAGATTAATGTATTTGTATGCATGGTCCTTGTTTAAATAAATACATGAACGTTCTATGTTTTGATGCTTCAGGTCCCAGGAGCTCAGGATTTGGTGGATTTCTCTCCAGTTTACCGCTGTCTGCATATCTACACTGTGCTGGTGAGTTAATTCCTTCTCATCTCCATAACTCTTTCTGCTCTAATCATCCAACACTTAATCCACGAGACCTCCAGTTGAAGCACTTGTGTACAACTTTTTAACTACAATTTAATCCTGTCACAAACCACGTTGAATATCTATATCTAACATAAGCAAGCATAAGGTGTTAAAGTGAGTGGGAGATATAGAGAAAGGCTTTTATTATAGTAGATACCTTTTCATATCGTGATACCAACATATATTTTGATATAGTGTTTATTTTTGGGAAACTGTTCCTCCTGCCTTCACCCACACTCACTGCCTGCCTGGAGGAGATACAGGCGTGGATGAAGCAAAACTTCCTGAAACTCAACATCTCCAAGACCGAAGCCATTATAGTTGGCACCCCACACCAGGTTCGGTCATCCACCATCACCACCATCACCTTCTCCGGCCAGGACATTACCCTCTCCTCAATAGTCACCAACCTGGGTGTTCAAATGGACGCCCATCTGACCTTTGAGGCCCACATTAAACAGCTGTGCAAGAACTCCTTTTATCACCTCAGGAACATCGCCAAACTCCGCCCCACACTCACTCTGTCTGACGCCGAAAAGCTGGTCCACGCCTTTGTCTCCTCCAGGCTGGACTACTGCAATGCACTCCTCTCGAGATCCCTAACAAAAGCATCCAGAAGCTCCAGTACATTCAGAACAGCGCTGCTAGGATCCTGATGAGGGTGCGCAAATATGACCACATCACCCCCATCCTTAAAGCACTACACTGGCTACCCGTGGAACTGAGGATCGAATTAAAGGTCTCCGTCCTCACCCACCAGTGTGTCCATGGAACTGCCCCTCCCCCCCTACCTCAAGGAACTCCTCACCACCCATACCTCCTTGCGGACCACCCGCTCCAGCAACTCCAACCTGCTCAAACCCCCCAGCACCACAGACCGTGGAGGCTTTTAAAAAAGGCCTCAAAACCCATCTCTTCAAAAGAGCCTTTGTGCTTTATATATGGAACCCATTATTATTATTATTATTATTAAGTACCCAGTCCAGTTTTTGGGTACTAGATCAATGTCCATACTTTATAACATACATGACGGATGAGGAAAATCATCCATTTGTATAAAACTATATTACTATCCTTGTGGGGACCTACATCTGTTTACACAGTCACGTGTGGGGACTGGCTTCCCTTATGGGGACATAAGGGAGGTCCCCATAAGGGGAATCATTCATTTTAGGGTGAAGACTTGGTTAGGCATGTGTTGGTTAGGATAAGTCTCCAGGAAGTGTGTGTGTGTGTGTGTGTGTGTGTGTGTGTGTGTGTGTGTGTGTGTGTGTGTGTGTGTGTGTGTGTGTGTGTGTGTGTGTGTGTGTGTGTGTGTGTGTGTGTGTGTGTGTGTGTGTGTGTGTGTGTGTGTGTGTGTGTGTGTGTGTGTGTGTGTGTGTGTTGTGTGTGTGTGTGTGTGTGTGTGTGTGTGTGTGTGTGTGTGTGTGTGTGTGTGTGTGTGTGTGTGTGTGTGTGTGTGTGTGTGTGTGTGTGTGTGTGTGTGTGTGTGTGTGTGTGTGTGTGTGTTCGTTCCGTGAGAGCGGGTCATGGATGAAGGTGTTGACTGGGCCATGACTGGGTTAGTTCCACATTTGGGTTCAGTGTGTGTGTCTGAAGGGGCTGTGTCAAAACAGCCCGAGGGTCGGCTGTTTCTGCTCAGTGTGTGTTGGAGGGGCTCTTTTTGAAGGGGGACAGGAAGTGCATGAACTTTGACAGGAAGGAGAAAATGAACGGTGCAAAGAGAGATGGAGTGGGGGAGCAAGAAAGGGAGAGTGGGGTTAGAGAGAGGGTATAGGGATGAGAGAGAGATACAGAGAGGTTTAAAGATGGAGGGGAAGCAGAGAGGGGTTTAAAGGGACAGATGATAACATACTGAAAGGCTTTAGTTGACTTTTGCATGTATACTTTTTGGGGTGTTCCCTTTCCTATAGTGTATAGGTTCTTGTGTAAATGGGCTTGAATCTGAAAGTTTATGGAGCTTCTCTCTAAATATGATCCTAATATGTAGTCATTAGTGTCGTATTTTAATTGGGCTCAGTTCCAACATGTGTGCCTTGGTTTCTGGTTGGGCTTGGAGAAAAAATCAATGCAGCTTCATTAAGGGTCGAAGCAAAATATAGAAGTAGATAATGTGGACAAAGAATAAGAAAACAAGTCTTGATGAGTGGACAAAACAATTTTAAAACTATAATATAAGTCTCACCTATCCAGTCATGTGCTCACTGCTTCCCAAACACACACATGTTCACTTAAAGGTGGGGTAGGTAAGTTTGAGAAACTGGCTCGAGATACACTTCTTGTTATATTCCATGGAATGCTCTTAACATCCCGATAGCAATGAATATCTGAAGTGCTTTGACAAAAAATCCATAAAAAAATGTCATCTGTGGAAGCCGTAGTACTGTAAAAAGTGCGACCAATCATTTTAGCCGGCCCGGCTAAAATAACTGGATGGCCTACCTGCCTGTCAGCCTTCCATCTGTGCACAAACTTATCTTGTGCCCTCATTGGTCATGTGCACGTTCGTGTGTGTTGGAGGAGGGGCTCTGTAAGGAAGTGGCAGATTTTTTTCCGGTTGTGTATTTTCAAATTCTCGCGCACTTGAGCTGGTTTCTCTGAAATGACCTACCCCATCTTTAAACCTTACGAAATAAAACTTGTTTAGTTCGAGTTTTTGAATGTGGACCCCCATTTTCTTTTGTTCATCCAGCCTTATCTCTGTTTACAAATACTTTGCTCACCTTGGAGGCTTGAGGGAGGAAAACATATTGGAAGAGTTATACAATTAGTCTGAATCAGAAACTTGGCCACGTTTCCCCAGTGTTTGTCCTCTTTTCACTGCAAAATGGATCATTTAGGAAATTGGCAATGAAGGAGAGCATCAGGGTTTGTTATTGAACCATCAACTATTTTCTGTTTTGCTGGAATTTAAATGATGAAGTGATGAGGAGAGGAGGGAGGGAGGGTAAAGGTCAGAGGAGGTGTAATCCAGAAGTTTACAGGAAAGAAAAGTGAATCGGCCGATAAGCAGCCGAGAGAGGAGGTGGGTGGGTGGGGGGGGGGTCACCGGGAGGTTAAAGGGGCAAAAACAGGAAGACGAGGGTGAAAACACACACAGAGGGAGAGAGATTAGGGAGAGAGGGGGTGAGTACAAGGGGGGAGGGATGAAAGAAGAGGAAGAAAACACGAGATAAGGTGAGCGACGAGGAGAAAGGAGTGTGTTAAACCTCGGGAAGGTGTTGAAAGGTCTGACCTCTTCACCTCGGAGGTCACACACACACACACACACACACACACACACACACACACGGCTGAAACTGCTGTATCCATTAAAGCTTAGTTGTGGCAGTTTGAGTGACAGGCCATTGGGCAGAGAGTTGGATTTGCCATTAGAAAATCTAATAAAATGTCGAGCAGTTTGTCGTTATTGGGCAGGGAGAACGTCTGGACACACACACACACACACACACACACACACACACACACACACACACACACACACACACACACACACACACACACAGTTTGATAGTTAAATAAGGATGACTCGTGCTTCCACAGGCACGCGCATGTAACCGTTTCATTTATTTTTCTAGTAAACCTGGACGTTGAATCCCATTTGCAATCAAGACCTCTACTTTCTCCACATGTTTCCCCCTCCTCCTCCTCCTCCTCCTCCTCCCCCTCCTCCTCCTCCATCCATTCTCCTCTATCTATCCTTTTCTTTTCCGTGTTTAAAGTCCACGGTTTTCCAGCCGTAGTCTAGCTCCGAACAATACTCCTTTGTTACGCTCGCACACGTGCTGCACGTTGAGAAATGTGGACGGAGTTTCGATCAACGTAAACACGGGATTAAGGTCCAGCTCACTGAGGGAGGAGAGGGAAGCAGCACTGCACTGCTTTAACACTAAAATAACCTTAAAACATGCTCATATTGCGCATCTAACTTGATTTATTACGGTGCCATCTCTGCGATCAGTGGATTCTCCTCGCAGGGTAATCTACTCACACTTTTTGCATTTATTTCAAATTTGATAAACAGGTTTTTCACCATTGTCTTTATACATTTTCCACTATAAAAGATACGCAAAAACATCAACGACCATTAACGTACACAACAACAATGCTAAATTAAGTAAAAAAAGACATTGACTGACATGACAACACTTAAATGAAAGTAAATACGGTTGTAATAAACACAATACACAAAATGGGAATGATAATACAAATATAATTAATACTTAAAATATTATTATTTCTACTTCTTCTTCTACTAATACCAATAATACTAGTAATAATGATAAAAAGATCCGGGTATATAAAATAATAATACTATTAATTCTAAAATAAATAAATTTTAAAAAATGCCATAAAATTCCTAAAAGTCTCCCAGATAAAATTGTTTTATTTAAAAAGTTGAATAAATGGCTGTCTCAACTCGCTCCAGCTACAACAATTATCTTTCTCTGTCTTCATTCAATATTTTATTTCTCATTGTTTCGTCTTACTGTATTCCTCTCTCTCTTTGCCTCGGCTGTTTTATATTAGTGGCATTGCAACACACACGCACACGCACACACACACACACACACACACACACCATGTATACATCACTTCAGGGGACATTACATTGACTTACATGCATTTCCTGGAGACTTATCCTAACCGAGTCTTCACCCTAAAATTAATGATTCCCCACATGTGACTGTGTAAACAGGTTTAGGTCCCCACAAGGATAGTAATGCTGACACACACACACACACACACGCACGCACACACTCTCAGTATCAGCCCTGTACTTCACCTCTCTCTCTCTCGGGGGGGGGCAGCTCAGTTTAATGCAGAGTTCAGGGCCACTTCATGTTGAATACACATTGTTCAGCTGAGGGTCAGTGTGGGAATTAAAGAACTATAAACCAGTTTCCAAAACACAGATTACGACCAGTGAGATTCCTACTTCTCCAGCCCACTTTATGGCTTTGTGATGTGTTTTCAACGGCCAAATGTTTGGGTTTTATTGTGCTGTATTTGTACCTTCACGATTGGTTTGAATAGCCATTGTTTTAGGTTTAATGTGAGTCCGATCCGTTATAACATTTGATGCCTTCTCCCTCGGCCCCGTTCTACATCCTTACACTTAATAATCAAGCCAGGTGCTTTTCTGTAATCCTGCTAAAAAAACAGACAAACAAAACACTGACCTGAAGACCTTACCTCCTTCAGGTCAGATCCCCTCGCATAATAAAGGTTTACCAACCAGAACAATGTTACTAAATAAATGGAAAACATAGCGTTGTAAGTCTGGTTTATAGCGTATTTTTTTATCTTGGTTAAATGGTAAGGTGTGTGTGTGTGTGTGTGTGTGTGTGTGTGTGTGTGTGTGTGTGTGTGTGTGTGTGTGTGTGTGTGTGTGTGTGTGTGTGTGTGTGTGTGTGTGTGTGTGTGTGTGTGTGTGTGTGTGTGTGTGTGTGTGTTGTGTGTGTGTGTGTGTTGTTGTGTTGTGTGTGTGTGTGTGTGTGTGTGTGTGTTGTGTGTGTGTGTGTGTGTGTGTGTGTGTGGTGTGTGTGTGTGTGTGTGTGTGTGTGTGTGTGTGTGTGTGTGTGTGGTGTGTGTGTGTGTGTTGTGTGTTGTGTGTGTGGTGTGTGTGTGTGTGTGTGTGTGTGTGTGTGTGTGTGTGTGTGTGTGTGTGGCCCGCCCAGACCTGGTTTCTTTTTTTCCCTTTTTCTTTTATCTCTGAGGTCACTGAGTACCCTGGTTAGGACTGGAGATAGGAAACATGTTTCTCCCACAGCAGAGGGGGAGATAAGAGAGAGAGAGTGGGGGAGAGCTTCTGTGTAATGGAAGGAAAAGATAGATAGGAGGTGGTCGACTTAAAAAAAGCTGCTTCTGTGTGTTTTTAGTTTTTCATGTCTGACAAGTGACGCCAGCCAAACTGCTGCTGATCAAAGACACGTCCTCTGTCTCTCACACACACACACACACACACACACACACACACACACACCCCCGTCACATTATCTCCACTTTCCCATCATTCAGTGCTTCTAATCTTTTGGTTTTAGTCCTGATTACATCCATCTCCCTCTACAATTAAAACAGCAAATCCTTTGACTATTATTTTGAGATCAATTACATCGCCAAACAACCATTAAAATATGCCTGCGTACCTCACTCCTGTCGACACAGAGCATGACATGTTCACCCTTACAGCTGAAATGGCAGAACATGGAAAATATGACATGTGTATTGGGTTGCCAGTTCACTATCTGTCCATAAATCATGGCTTGAAAGTACGTCATCTTCTTTGACAGGGAAACCTTTTTCAATGCCATTTAAATAGGGAAGAGTTGTTTTCCAGCTTGGCTTCATCTCTTAAAAACGTGATTGAATGTTTCCTCCAGGTCTCTACAGGTGTTAACAAACACTCACACACCTTGATTTCCCATGATCCTCCTCTCACTGTGTTGTAGGGTTTGCGTGATGTGTTTGAGAACTACTACAGAAAGCAGCGGAGGAAACAGGCTCGCCTCGTTCTGCAGCCACACTCTAACATGGTATGACCCTCACCCTCCTAACTCCACCTGCTCACACACTCCCCTTCCCACCTACACACACACTCCTTAATCTATGACTTATCCTACTACTGTTAATGTAATCAGAATCCATTTAAATGATGGTTTTATGCCTTAAAGGGGACCTATCATGCAACATGCACTTTTGTGCGTCTTTTCTACATGAATATGTGTCCCCGGTGTTCCAGGGAACTCACCAAGTGTCAGAAAACACAACCCTCTCTATTTTCCTCCATACCCAAATCTCTAAAAAAAGGGGCTGCAACGGATCTGATAAAAACTGATCCAGATTTGAACACTGTCCTGACGTCAGGACGGTGGTGCTACGGCTATTGGGCCAACTCCACCAATCAGGAGGAGACAGCCACGGCCATTGCCGTTCGAAAGCCCTGGAGACGCTGTAGTACATATGCCAGGCCTGTAGGTGGTGCTGTTCTCACAGAATCTGCCCTTGCAAAAACAGAGCTAACATTTTTCAAATTGACCAAATGAGGCATGGCTAAAATGCATGATCTGTTTGGTATTTTGAAAAAAGAAAAGTATAACTATGCCTTATATAGGTATGGTCCTACACTATATTATTAAAATATAGCATGATAGGTCCACTTTAAATGTGTTAAAAGCCAGTTTATCATCTAGTGTTGGAGTTGTTATTATATTACAAGTTTTCTTATGTAGCTTTTAGGTTGTAATTGATTGTATTGCAATATTTATGTTATTTTGCACTAATTGTTTGTATCTTTCTGCACTCTTCCTTCGCTGTTGGACCCTTTTTATCTTTCTCCGTTTCTCTCCATTTCTTTTTCTCCTATATTTGTTTGTTTCTCTCACATTTCCAGCATGAAACTCTGGAGGGATACACGCGGTACTTCAATCAGATCGTCGGGTAAGTCTGTCCATCCCTTTTTCCCCATCAGTCCGTTTGAACTTAACCCCAGATATCTTTATTTGTGTGATTTGAACTGATTTGAAAGTTGCTTTTCTCATCATTGGAAGACTCAATATAAACACATCTTATAGATATGTTTAAAAATGGCTTTCAAAACGATATCAACACTTTTCTTTTGCTGCATTTTTATTCCCTAAATCGTTCAAAAATATACCTTCAAATCATTTATGGATGAAAGTTCTTTTTCTCATCCATTCTGTCTCTCCATCCATGAATCTTCCATCCCTCTCTCTTTACATCCACCTCACCTCCACCTCTCATCCATCCTTTCCTCCATTGTTCACCCTCTGTGTATTTTGGCAGAAGACGGAGAGAAAGACAGACTTTGAGTGAAAGCAAACGTTGATCGTTTAGCGTCACCTCGTTTCCTTTGAGTTTGACTTCTGACCGTCTGACATCTCTTCCTCCAACTCTACTCTTTTCCATCCCTCTCTGCCCACACTCCTCTCCTCAGACTTTTCCTCTCATCCATCACTCCATCCAACTCTCTCCATTGCACACACACACACACACACACACATTATTACACACACACGGTGGTGACGATTGATAGAGTGTGTGTGATGGCAGTTTGCTCGTTGCTGTTATTCCTTCTGTCTGTCTGACTTGAATAGACACTTCTATAAACACTGCAGACGCTTGACATCACACACACACACACACACACACACACACACACACACACACACACACACACACACACACCCTCATGTCTGTTATTCCCATTCAAAGTGCCATCCCATGTCTCTCATCCGTTGCTTTTTCCCAATCACTCACTCATCCCTTCATCCCTTTTCTTTCACTCACATCCCATCCATCCATTCGACCAATCATCCTTTCATCAGAAACACGAGTAATTAAATCCTCAGGCTGTAATTAAAGTGTCCTTTTTCTTATTTATTCACGTGTTCATTTAACCTTTATCCCACATACATGTCATTTAATGAGGTGTTCCCTTTCCTGTAGTTTGTTCTGTAGGTTGTTGTGCATAATGAGCATAATAGGGCCCCTTTAAATGAACTCATAAAAGACTGAAACCCCCAACTTAAGAACAATGCTTCATCATTTCGGGCGTTGTATCACAGCTTAAAGTTGCATTTCTCATCATTAGAAGACTCAATATAAACACATCTTATAGATATGTTTAAAAATGGCTTTCAAAATGATATCAACACATTTTTTGCCGCATTTTGATTCCCTTCAAATCATGCAATATATATATATATATATACCATCAAATTATTATTACACTGTAACTTGTATTCATGTACCGGTGTTATTCATGTTTTATTATCTTTGCTTTTAAATGAGTGGTTTGAAATGCCATTTTATAATATGTTTTTTAATGCTCTTAAAGGTGGGGTAGGTAAGTTTGAGAAACCGGCTCGAGATCGCTAGAATTTGAAAATACACAACCGGAGAAAATCTGCCACTTCCTTACAGAGCCCCTCCTCCAACACACACGAACGCGCACATGACCAATGAGGGCACGAGATAAGTTTGTGCACAGATGGAAGGCTGACAGGCAGGTAGGCCATCCAGTTATTTTAGCCGGGCCGGCTCAGATGATTGGTCGTACTTTTTACAGTACTACTGCTTCCACAGATGATATTTTTTTATGTATTTTTTGTCAAAGCACTTCAGATATTAATTGCTATCGGGATGTTAAGAGCATTCCATGGAATATAACAAAAAGTGTATCTCGAACCGGTTTCTCAAACTTACCTACCCCACCTTTAATGTCTTAGATTGTTGTAAAGCACTTTGAATGGCCTTGTATTGAAAGGTGCTATATAAATAAACTTGCCCTTTCTTACGGGTTTTTCATCATAATTACGCTCCTGCTTTCTTGTGTTTCTCTCCCCACCCTCTTTATATTCCTCCGTGCAGCTTCTTCGTGGTGGAGGATCACATCCTTCACACCACGCAGGGTTTGGTGAACAGAGCGTACGTGGAGGAGCTCTGGGAGTTAGCGCTGTCCAAACTCATCGCCGCGCTGAGGACACACTCCGTAAGGAAACACAGCTATACACACACTACGCTATTTAATGACATCCAACATTTGAATAGAATATAGAATTCTTTATTGTCATTATACAGGTACGATGAGATGAGTAGAGCTACTCCTTTTTTTAAGGTGCCATAAAAATAAAAAACTAAAAAAAAAAACGAGACGTACAACATTCAGGAGGAGACAACATACAAACGACAAGCATTCATACTTCAATATGCAGATAAACATGTTCACCGTCTTATTATTATTTTGATTGTTGGACAGAGATTCCCCCCTGATACACACACACACACACACACACACACACACACACACACACACTCTCACACTCTTCTCTCTCCACAGTCGTACTGTGACAACCCCAACCTGGTGCTGGATCTGAAGAACCTCATTGTGCTTTTTGCTGATACACTGCAGGTATGTGTGTGTGTGGCCTAGCATTACTATCCTTGTGGGGACCTAAATCTTTTACACAGTCACGTGTGGGGACTCGCCTCCCTTATGTGGACATAATGGAGGAATCATTCATTTTAGGGTGAAGACTTGGTAAGGGTTAGGGTTAGGGTTAAGCATGTGTTGGTTATGGTTAAGGTTAGGATAAGTCTCCAGGAAATGCATTTAAGTCAATGTGATGTCCCCTGAAGTGATGTATACATGGTATGTGTGTGTGTGTAAAGGGAAAGGATGTCATGTCGTATGAAACAGGGCTGCTCAATTATCAACATTTGATCAAAATCGCAATTTGGATTAGTGCAAAATTCAAATCCCAGGATCACAATATTTGTTAAAGGCAAAAAAATGTGTCAAAATATAAATTTACAGCGATATCCCGCACAAAATCATATTTTACAGATTTAACAATATACATTTGTGTGGTACAAATCCTCTGAGAAAATCTAACCATGATCGTTTCCATATATCTTTCAATGATAATGAGAATCATGATGCAAAAAATGATAATTCCCTCAAATATCTTGAAAAAAAAAAATCACATATTTTCAAATCACGCAGCCCAAATTCAGTTTCATTCCATTTTGAGTTTAGTTATGGATCATTGTAATCATCATGGCACATCCAAAGGAAGCTGTTTGATCCCCGGAGCTCATTAAAACTCATTCAAAGCATGTTTAATAATCGAAAAATGGGGCCGCTGCCAATCCCTTAAAGAAAGACCTTCTTTCTTAATGTAACCTCGTCTGTTTATCCGGCTCTGAGCGTATGAAGTTCCCGGGATGGATGGAGTGTGATGGATGAATAGAGGGAGCAGATAGAGGGGATGTGGGTAAGAGGGGGAAGGAAACAAAAACTCACAGATGAGTGAGAGATGATGAATGGATGAAGTGATGAAGTGCCGCTGAATCACTTGACCTTCATCACGCCCTACAGATTTGTGATGCTGTAATAAAGTCGTGCAGCTGTAGAAATATGAGTGAAGAAGCTTTGGGCTCAAAGATATTTAACATATGGAAAGTTAGGTAGATGTGGATTTGGCTGGAGGGTCTGGAAATTATTGTTAATTGAGTTCATTTTTCAATTGTGATATAAGAGGTACTGGTACCTTCTTAAGCGTTATTCAGATTATTATTATTAAATACATATATTTAAATTATTACAGCCTTGTTTTTATAAGAGGATATGTACCAAACAAATATATATTATGTCTTTTACTAATGATTGTGAAGCCCATTTTTTGATTTCCATGATATTTCGAGTACATTTGTAACCCTCGCTGGAGTTATTTCACAAGCTTACAATTTGAATGTCCCTTATTTGCTTACACACACATCAACATGTGGTTGACTTATGAGAAAATGAACTATCTGAGCTAGGCTTTCATGCTGCAGAAAGCCTATATGAAGTACTGAATGTTGTAACACAGTATAGTGTTATCAAAGTCAACTTTATTGTCAAGGTCAAAATATGTTTGTACACACAGAAAGATCAAAATACTGTTTCCCACAGTCCCGAGGTATAACAAATTATACATTAAAATGCAAGAACACTCAATAATTACAAAAAAAACACTTGTTTACTTCAAGTAAGTAGGATATATATAAAAAAATAAGAGTGCGAAAAAATGTCCATAGCAGCGTAAAAGTGACTGGTGCTGGATTGGGAAGACTTTCATTATTGTCCCAACACAGACAAGTGTCTGAAGAGTACATTTCCACCTGGATTTCTTTTTCACTTGGATATTTAAAATGTAGGACCTCAGTTTTTTTTATCGTTGGCCTCTTACCGGTTCCTCTGGTGTTCTCCTCAGGGTTATGGGTTCCCCGTGTCGCAGCTGTTCGACATGCTGCTGGAGATGAGAGAGCAGTACGGAGAGATCCTGCTCAAGAAGTGGAACATCACCTTCAGGTACTCATTACTGACGGATCAATTAAGATAAGATACAGCTTTATTAGGAAACTGTTGTGCCAGATATTCAGAGAAAAGTACAGCAACATAAGAGTAATTATAACAGAGTGAAACGTTTAAACTAAAAACTGTTAATCGCCTAAATTAGTCGCATGATAGTCCGTAGTTCATTTGCTATTAATCACACAATAATACCCCTTTTTTAATTTGTTCTAAATGAACCGGTAAGGGATATTTTTCAAGTTTTTAATACCCTTTTAAACATGGGAATGGACAAATTACATGTTTTTCAGTAGCTAAGGTCATAAGGGTGCAGACACACACTCACACACACACACACACACTCACACACACTCACACACACACACACACACTCACACACCCCCCAGTGCTGCTTTGTGGGAAACGTCCTCGTCTTGGTTTTGAAGTTTTACGACCAGCGAGAGAGAGGAAGTGTCTTAAAACAAACGTCCGGAACATTCTCTGCCCCTCAGAGTGGGTAGTACCCTCACAAGATCGTGTGTGTGTGTGTGTGTGTGTGTTCTCGTGTGAGAGTGTGTGTGTTTGGTCTTACATGCCATTGTTTCACCCACCATCGCTTTTTGTCCAATGACACCAGTGGGACTTGTGGTGGCGAGAACGGACAAACAAACACACACTCCTTCCCTCTCTTTCTCTCTCTCTCACACACACACACACACACATTGACACACACACACACACACACACACACACACACACACTCTGGGGCAGCCACAGGAATGTTGTGTTGTATTGTTGGAGAGGGAAGGCTCTCCGGTTCACGGCCTCTCCATGGAGCGCTGGAACGTCCGAACTCTGGAGCGCCAACAAGAAGTGGGGGGGGGGGTGGTAAGAAAACCTCAAGCGTTGAAATGACCCCCAATGGGATGTGTGTGTGTGTGTGTGTGTGTGTGAGAGGCTGATGATATGTCAGTCATTCCTGCTTGAAACTGCCTGTAAAGAGCAGATTTCAAATGCTGTTTCTGTGTTTTCCTTCTCGTCTCCAGGCAGGTGTTGGATCAGGATAACTTCAGTCCGATCCCAGTGTCAACAGAGCAGGAATACAAAAACTACACTTCCCAGTTTCCCTTGCAAGACCCTGAACTGGACAAGGTAAATTAAAGTGACAGATAGAGCAGATAATGGCAGGATCTTTAACATAAGATAGGACTTGTTTTTGAAATTGTTGTGCCAGTTACACAAATACAATAATAATAAAACTGTACACTAACAGTGCAGTAAAAAGAGAACTACAGGAAACATAGACGGCCACATAGTTAATGTAAATATTAACATTATTTAGTAGTGCAAAGAACGTAGTGGCAGATACGTAATTGCACGTTATTATAGAACACTATTAATAATAATAATATTGCATTATATATAGTCCTTATTGCATTTAAGGACTCAAAATGAGCAAACGTGCAAATAAAATGGAGGAAAAACATGTACTTTTGTTTAATTTGACTCCACACAAAACCATCTTTCATTGAGATCATCACACATGATTAAGCCTGACTGTTTGTGGTCGCTTTCGTGCGAAATTCTCATGTTTTTTTTTTGTACCCGTTTTCCTCCAGCTTCCCTTCCCCAAGAAGCTTCCCTTCTCCGAGTTTGTGCCAAAAGTCTACTGCCAGCTCAAGGAGTTCATCTACGCCTGTCTGAAGTACTCTGAAGACCTGCATCTCAGGTACACACACACACACACACACACACGCACACACACACACACTAAAATCATCACTTTCATTCGTCACTCACACTCATGCTACCACCGTGCAGCATTGATTTTGATGATACATCCCAGTGTGGTGCCACTTTTTAGAACTTTCTTCCACTAAACCAGCTGCCAGGAATAACATTTTTGCATCTGAGCACCACAACGCTTTGCCCAGAACAAATCTAGTTTTCTTTATCACTTTGTGTCATATTCTCCCCCCTTTATCCTTCTTTTTTATTTGACACATCCACTCTGAAGCTTCCCGAAACAGCAGACCTTTCCAAGTTGATTCTTACCTTCTGATCTGTGTCTCCTTGCATTTGTCTCACACACACACACACACACACACACACACACACACACACACACACACACACACACACACACACACACACACACACACACACACACACACACACACACACACACACCACAACCCCGCAATCAAGCCCAGCTTCTGTTCGATGCTCTGTCGAGGTTAAACAGTAAGCCCTGTGGAAGTGTGTGTGTGTGTGTGTGTGTGAGATGTGTGTAGGTTATGGTTGATGGAAGAATTAACTAAAACAATGCTGCCTCTTTTAGCGAGTAGACGAGCAATCAGGAAACAACTTCCGCTGGGATTCAGCCAGACACACACACACACACACACACACACACACACACACACACACTCACACTCACACTCACACTCACACTGAACAAGCAATTTAATTCACATTTACAGCAAAACACACTCAATTCTTCAGTTTGATGCGTGTTATTAGTGTCATGATATGGTTTGTGGTTTCTGACTGAATAGCGTGTGTGTGTGTGTGTGTGTGTGTGTGTGTGTGTGTGTGTGTGTGTGTGTGTGTGTGTGTGTGTGTGTGTGTGTGTGTGTGTGTGTGTGTGTGGTGTGTGTGTGTGTGTGTGTGTGTGTGTGTGTGTGTGTGTGTGTGTGTGTGTGTGTGTGTGTGTGTGTGTGTGTGTTGGGAACCAGGAAGGTACCATTGATCCGTGACCGGCGGAAGAAAGAGAGACGGAGAGGAGGAGGAGTGATTGGAGGAAAAATAGTTGACTAATCAAAGGGAAGGAATCGTTATAATAAAAACATAGTTAGAGGAAAGAAAGACACAGATATCAGTGTGTGTGTTTCTGCCACACAGTTTAGCAGTGAAGCCTACTTCTAAATAAATGCAACCCCCTTCTTTTTGCATTATGTTATAGACTTGTTTTTATCACATGTCTATTTGGCAGATGCTATTGATGTACAAGAACCTCAATAAAAAACACTTCAGGTATAAATAGGCGCTGTTTTTCGACCTTTTGTGTTTAAAAACATGACAAAATAACAACAGTGAAGGCAACTTGGCACACTTTAAAATATGTGCAACCCCCTTCTTTCTACATTAAATATAACCTGGATGTGTTTCGTTAATCATATAATCATGTGGAAGATGGTACTAATGAACAAGACCCTAAAACTAAACTCTTTGGAAATCTTTTTGTTGTTAGAAACATGACAAAATAAGTGAATTTAAGCACCAGTTGTGTTGAAACAGTTGTAAAATCAGGTGTTTTTTTTCATATATTCCCCCTAAAACAATCAGCTTGTTTCCAGTTTTGTAAACAACTCAAAGTTGAATCTGATCTGAGGAACAGAGCAGATGTTTTCCTGCTGAGGATCACGGATCTTCTCAATCAGAGTAATGAGTCCACTTTCTGACCTGGCTTGATTTCTCTCTCTCCGCTCCCGCATGTCCTGATATCTGGTTACCGCCGGCAACACGCCTTCCTGCCCGCTTCAAACACACACACACACACACACACACACGCACGCTCTTGTCTCCGGAAACAGACGGCATGATGGAGCAGGACGGCGGTCACTGATCCCTCTGAACCCTCTGACATTAACCTCTGTTCCCGAGAAGAGTGTGTGTGTGTGTGTGTGTGTGTGTGTGTGTGTGTGTGTGTGTGTGTGTGTGTGTGTGTGTGTGTGTGTGTGTGTGTGTGTGTGTGTGTGTGTGTGGTGTGTGTGTGTGTGTGTGTGTGTGTGTGTGTGTGTGTGTGTGTGTGTGTGTGTGTGTGTGTGTGTGTGTGTGTGTGTGTGTGTGTGTGTGTGTGTGTGTGTGTGTGTGTGTGTGTGTGTGTGTGTGTGTGTGTGTGTGTGTTGTGTGTGTGTGTGTGTGTGTGTGTGTGTGTGTGTGTGTGTGTGTGTGTGTGTGTGTGTGTGTGTGTGTGTGTGTGTGTTTTGCTTTTTTTTTTCCAAGTGTGCATGATGTCTCTTACCTCTCCTTAGCCTCCACTTGTGCCTTTTTGTTGTGCGCCATGGATGGACCAGCGGGTTGTAACCTTATTTTTATTATCTAGTAATCTGCTGATTCATTGCTGGCTTAAGATATTCACTTTTAGTCTAGAAAAAGACAGAAATAAGTAGAAGATGTCTTGTTTTGTCATTCCCAAACCCTAATATATTCAGTTCAATATGATTAATGACACATTTTTTAGGACTGTTTTCAACTTATTGCACACTATTTGTTCAAAAATAAAATGGCTCTTGAGTTTTAAAGGGCCCATGTCATGCTTTTCCGGTTATTACCCGTCCCCTTGTGTGTTATGAAGGTTTTTATGCATGTAAACGGTGTGCAGAGTCAAAACCCTCAAAGTACACCCTGTAGCGAGTAAAACTCTAACACAGAAAATACCTCCCCAAAACGCCTCGTTGGAGATACATCATTGTCCATTTGATTCTTCCATTTCGTTCCGGGTACGGCATGATGTCATGCCGTACCCGGAACGAAATGGACCAATCCGTGGAGCCGTTACGTTACGTCCGCGGAGCCGTTACGTTAAGCCCCCGCTGATTGGTCCAAATTGACCAATCCACGGACTTCCTCACACACACATCTGTGTGCAGGGAGCAGGCAGCTCTGCTGATTTCTCCTCCCTGGCTGCAGGCTGATAACAGACAGTTGGGATTGCGGTGAAATTCTCTCTGCAGACCCATTCTCACAGCGTTTATCAACCTATTTCTTACTCAATATCAAGCCACACTTATTGTTTTTACTTCGGCTGTGAGTTTGTGTGTGCTCAGGATGAGTTTGGCTGTGTTTCGCTGTGTATCGCTAAACAAGGAAACAACACCTCCACGGAGCTCAGCGCGATTCACAACGTCCCGACCAATCAGAGCACACTGTGCTCACAGGGAGGGTGGGGGCTGGAGCTTTTGGAGCTCCAACGAGCCGTTAAAGGCAGAGAGTGAAATTCAGTGAATACACGTAGTTTACAGAGATGCTGTATGAGAAACCAATGTGAGTTTGGAACATTGAACAATATAAATCTATTCTAGTAGACCTCAACAATGGAATTATGATCAGTGGAAATGGCCATGACATGGGACCTTTAAAGAGCACAATCTCCACGCCTCAGTGTCTTGTAGCAACACTAAGGTAAAGTAATACATTAAGGATGCAAAGTACTATATTGTTAAAGCAGTTGTTTCTCCTCCTGAGCTTTCCCTTCCAGTCGCCTGGCGCTAACTTGGCTAGCATTGCTTCAGATTGGACGGAGACAAAGAGTGTTGTGTTTGGTGGTGTTGGCAGACGCTGCAGTGATGAAGATTGTGAGGTTATTTTGGGAGGAACAAGAGATGAGGTGATGTTGGCAAAAGACATCGTGCTTTAGCTTTTGGGGTAAGACGACTGGGCGTGAAGCCGAGCAGTTCGCTGGTAAAAGATACACACTCAAACTTCTGTCTGCGTTCGAAACCTGTGGGTGTACATGTGTTGAGCTGCCAAAATAAAACGGGGTGTTGGAGGTCAAAGCTGGCAAGAAAACAGAGCATTGGCTGCAATTTCTACGTAAAATACAAATCAAATTGTCAATCTTTTTCGTGCTGTTTGATCACGATCACCAGGAAAGACTTTTTATTTTTTTATTAACATCCCCTCTCCGTCTTTCATAACGTTTCATCACTTTGTGTCCACGAAGAAACCGCAGCGACATTCAGTCATAGTTTCGGTGACAAATGACGTAGAGAGTCGTGCCGAGGGGCCGTTTGAGGGCGGGAGAAAAATGAATGGAACTCTTTATTTGCCACACACTTGGACACACCAAGATACACACACACACACACACTTATAACTGACTACACACACATCGAGATGGAGTGTTAGCTCACACACTCAAGTCCAAAATATGAGTGTACTTCGCTGGCAAACCACAGTTAATTCGTCATATATGTGGGGACGTAGCTACCTAGCTAACTGCTAACTTTACACTGTGTGTTTTCTGGTATCATTACTTTACTGTAACAACCCCACATAAATCAATACTACTGTATAGCTGTGCTGTATATATATATATATATGTATATGTATACTTCTTAATAAAACATATTTAAAACATTATATGAAGTAAAGTCCAGTTTCCAGCTTGACAACTATGGCTCCTTTCTACTTAAGGACATTTCAAAGCCCACATTTCTTTACTTTTACTCGAGTAAAGAAGTCAGTACTTGAACTTTTACCCGAGTATTTTTAAACACACATCTCTGTACTTGTACTTGAGTGAAGGATGTGTGTACTTTTGCCAATATCTGTACTTTTCTTGTTGCTCTCTGTGTGTACTTTTACCCAAAGATGTAAACACGCTGCACTTGGCTTCCCTCTGACAGTATTTATTGTGACTGATGTCCGCACACATGTAATGAAACTCAATTGTGTGTGTGTGTGTGTGTGTGTGTGTGTGTGTGTGTGTGTGTGTGTGTGTGTGTGTGTGTGTGTGTGTGTGTGTGTGTGTGTGTGTGTGTGTGTGTGTGTGTGTGTGTGTGTGTGTGTGTGTGTGTGTGTGTGTGTGTGTGTGTGTGTGTGTGTGTGTGTGTGTGTGTGTGTGTGTGTGTGTGTGTGTGTGTGTGTGTGTGTGTGTGTGTGTGTGTGTGTGTGTGTGTGTGTGTGTGTGTGTGTGTGTGTGTGTGTGTCACTAGCATACATTGACTTTTTGCCACTCCACACACACATTATTTTTGTCCACTCTGCACTTCTCCAGGAATGCCCCCCCCTCCTCCTTGCTCCAAATTGTCGGAACGTTTTTAGGATTCCTTCGTTTTTTTTTGGAAACTAAGTGAGTTTGGAAGGAATTCCAGCTTTTCGCTCCCCCTCAGGCGACACTCTGCGTGTGTTAAAGTGTGTGTGTGTGTGTTTAGGTTGAATTCCAGGCTCTGATAATTTACTGATTTGGTTGGAATGTGTTTGTTACCCACAGAGCTTTTGGAAAGCAACACACACTTGCAGTAAAACACACTTAGACTCAGATCGCCGGGAGAAAGTGATCGCTTTTGTTTCCGCCTGTGTGTGTGATGTGAGTTTGACCTCCTCTGACCTTCTCCTGTGTTTTTGATGCCGTACGTCTGGACTCGTGCAGTTTTTCTTCCAGGAAAAAGCAGTTATTAAACAGTCGCTCGCTGCCATGAAAAACGTTCCTCCACTCCCACGATTGTGCAGAAATGTGTCTGCGTTTCTTCACCCACATTTCAAACGTAACAAAATCAATAGTATGTCAGAGATTCTCTAAGTGGGTCTGATTAGCGCCCGTCAAATATTTGTTTTAACAGGACATTTGAGCTCATTTCAGAGTTAACAGCCCGCTGGCTCCCTTTCCGCCTCGCTGGCTGCGCAGAGGTGGTAATTTTATGATTATTTAAAGTGCGGTGGAGGGAATATATATTATAAAAATGACTGGCTAATATCAGGACAGAAGGCATTCATTTTCAGTTTTACTAGCGTGTGTTTTATTGATGTGGGACGTTTTTTGTATCTTTTGAGTCTCAGTGGTTTTAGGTAAGTTATTTTCACGCTCATATCGGGAGATTTAAGGCGATGTTGGACTTCTAATGAGACTAACAGCTCATAACATGGTGAAGCACTCATTAGACTTGGCTGACATTTAGACTTTTTCCCAAATGGAGAGTTTCGCAGACAGAGAAATTTCACTTAAAATGTTTGTACTGGCTTTGGGACGCGGCGAGAAATGGAAGAAATAACTTCTGCACAGTCACTGATTCTCTGCCCTTCTCTCTCTCTCTGTGTGTGTGCGTGTGTGTGTGTGTGTGTCTCTCTTTGTGTGTGTGTCCCACAGCTCCACGGAGGTAGACGATATGATTCGCAAGTCGACCAATCTGTTGTTGACCAGAACCCTGAGCCACTGTCTGCACTACGCCATTAAGAAGAAGAATGTCGGGCTGGCAGAGGTACTTTAAGTGTGTGTGTCTGTGTGTGTGTGTACAAAAATAAAACTCTCAGCTTGAGGCTTGTAATAATCTCTCTGAGAGGGAACGAGCTAATGTCGTTGCACAACTTCAGTGCAACTCTGTTTCTCAGAATTATCATTTTTTTTAAGCTCTCCGGCTCATTTACTCTCACAAAAACACACACTTCCACTTTTCAACCTGTTGTTGTTGTTGTTGTCAAAACTGTGCAGAGCTGTGGTTTTATTTTCCACTTGCTGTTTGTTTATTTGTTTCCATGCTTATTGATCATCAGTAGACCAACACATCATTAATTCAAGAACAGGATGTAACGCTAAGCGAGCGTGTTATGTCGGCATCCTTTATTTAACGGTAAATGGTCGGAAACTGTGAAACACTTCCAAATAAAATGCAGAATATCAAGATGTATGTCCAAAGCCTTATAAGATAAGATGGACCTTTATTAAATTCAGTAGTTTAAAAAGCATCAGGGT